CCCCCCCCAACACACACACACACATTGGGGCATGGCCATGCTACAATTCCTTCTTCTCTATTTTTGCATCTTGTTGGTATTTGGGACATATAGGCACATATGTGTAGAGTGTTTTTTTAAGTAAATAAGGTTGGGATTCTAACTGCAATCAGCTGTATGAGATCCAGCTTCCTTAACCACTAGGCATCAGTCTAGTCCCATGCTTAATATTTATGTAACTGTCATACTATTTTTTCATGGTGTGGAAACAGTACAATTGCTATATGACATAACATATCTATCAGCTGTGAACAAGGAAGGGTTCCAGCTTCTGAGCATCCTCTTTGGCACATCATATATGCTGTTTACTTTTATTGTTATCCTAATGGTTCTGAGGTTTTGAATTTTATTTATGGGTTTCTTTATCATTTCCCCAATCATTGATGATGTTAAGTAGGTTCTTTTTCTTTTTCTTTTTTTGAGAGACTTTTGCTATAAGTTGCATGCACTCGCTGGAGAAACAGAGAGACAGGAAGAGAGAAATCACTCTTCTCCAGGGGAATACCCACATTGCAAAAACTGACTTCCACTTTTACACATGTTATCTGTGAGTTTTTCATGTATGATCTTTATGTCAAGCTAGGCTCTTTCTATTTCTACTTGTTGGGTTTTGTATTTATTTCTATCACTAAACAGTACAGAATTTTGGAAGATAAATTTTTCTCTTTTAAAGTCTTAGTTCAGTATTCATGCTTCTTTGATGGACCATTTTTTAGAGATTCATTTTGGTTCTTTCTATGGATGATGTTCCCTTGTTTCTTTGCACATCTTATTATTATTATTTTTTTTTAATTGGGTATTTAACAAAACAGCCACCTTTTCTTTCATGGGAGATTTTTCTCTGTTCCAGGGAAATTCTATATTTATTAGTTACATGCTCCCAGGCTTGGAATTAGCTGGAGGTAAAGTTTGAGGTCTACTTAGGTCTCTCTGACCATGAGCATTTTGGGTCTTTTGTGATGTTGTCTATTGCTCCATGTACATGGCTGCCTTGGAATCACGCATTTCCGGAAGCCACACCTCAGAGTCTCCTTAGGACTTTAGAGGGCCTATTGTATACCTTTACTTCTTTTTTTAAACTTTCTTTTCTTTATTTTTCTGTTTTTTTTTTTGAGAGATTTTTGCTATAGGGTGTAAGTCCTCTCTAGTGAGACAAAGACAGAGAGAAAGAAAGAAATCACCCCTCAGGGGGAATAGCCATGTCACAATCTCTTCTCCTCCATTTTCTTCTCAGGATCTTGGGCACGCATGCACACCTGGCATAAGTTTTAAGCTGCCGGGTATGGGACTCAAACTGCAATTGGCTGCATGGGAGTTCAGCAACATAACCATTATGCTATCTGCCGGTCCTGGTCTTCGCTTCTAATCCCCTGCTTCAGGCACCTGTCCGTCTATACGGTCTCCCTGAAGCTGTTTACCAGCAGCGCCTGCCACTTTTTACTGCCTTTCCCAGTCTGTGATCCGTTTTGTGAATTTTTCTTGTCTTAACTGCAAGTTAGGCAAAACAGAAAACAGTTCTTCAGGCAGATCTCAAACAGGTGAGGGCACTCTTTGAGAAATAAGATCTGCTGTGCACCTTCCAGTAAAAGGCACAAAATTGGGAACTGGGTTGTCACCCTCTCCAGACCAAGACAAACATCCAACCAGGGCAGGGGAGGAGCAATGAGAGCAAAACCACCACAAAATGTCTACTATTTGGAATGTGTGTGTGTGCCTTAATTGATTGGACATTCTCTTGATTTCTTTACATCTCTGACTGTTCTCAAAGCATTCAAGCTTTTATTTTATTTTATTTATTTCAGGGTTTTGCCATAGGGCACCTGTGCTTGCTGGAGATAGAATAAAACAGAGAGAGGGAAAGTGGGAAATCAATTCCCAAGAGCGTGGCCACACAAAATCCCTTCTCCTCCATTCTCCTCTTGGGATTGTGGGCATGTGCATACACCCAGTGTGATTTTCAAGCTGTTGGGTCCAGAGCTCAAACCATGGCTGGCCATATGGGAGTCCAGTGCCTTAATCACTATGCCACTTGCTGCCCGCCCCCATACATATTTTAAACAGTTTTTAGTTATGTCTTTTAATGTCTCCATGGGGAACAAGGGTCTTGGAGCTTTCTTGCCACCTTATTAACATCACTACAAGTCTCTTCAAAATTTTTTTTTTTGAGAGTTTTTTTCATGCGCTCACCAGATAGAAAGAATCAGAGAGACAGAAAGCGAGAAATCACCCTTCAGGGGGGTGGCCATGCCGCAATCCCTTCTCCTCCATTCTTCTCTCGGGATCTTGGGCATGCACGCACACAAGCCTGGCGTGAGTTTTAAGCCACCGGGTCTGGGATGCAAACCGTGGTTGACTACATGGGAGTCCAGCAACATAGCCATTATGCTAACTGCTGGTCCCTGGTCTCTTCAATTTTTTGTAATATGTACTTTTTTAAATCAATGATCAAAATAACTCTTAGTCTTTGATTTTTTAACTCAACATTGTGATTGTGTTTGTGATTGTAGAAAGAGAAATTTATTAGCTTGTTGAACTATTTGGTGACTCTAGCTTAGGTTAGAACATCCAGT